CAGAAGTCTGAAATTCTGTTCACTGTACACGTGTGTGCAAGGGGTGCTTGTGTGCATACATGTAAGTGACTGTTTTTCCCATGTATTATGGGATAAAAACTCAGGTGGTCAGACCTCTGCTGGTATCAGTAAGGTTAAAGCCATTTCTACTTCTACTCTCTGCTTTCTACTATTGGATTTATAATTGAAAACTTATCTAATTACTTTCATGACTGCTTGTGGTTTTTATGCATCTACACATGAGTACATGGATATAAATGGAAAACTCACGTTTCCCATTTATATCCAAGAGCCCATGAGCAAAGAGCACCCCTGTTTTCATTATTGACTGCACATTACCTTTTACAAGAGATTCAGAAATGCCAAGTGATGTCATCATAACAATAATTATATTCTGAACTTTACATTTGACAGCATTTCTCAAAGAAATCCATTCATGGTGATGTTAAGGACAAGGCCGGCTTTAGCACATGCATTGCTGGACACAACTCACTAGGAATAAAAACTGGAATTGCTAAGTAATAAAGCATATAACAAAATTACTGTCTTCATGGGGAATAACACAGATAAATCATAAGCTGTTTTCTCCAGATACTAAATTTAAGTTATGGCAAAGTTATTCTAGTTATTTTCATGACAAATATCAGTCATCTCTTTTGAGTGATACATAATTGCAGACCTGATGAGAGCACTAAGCATCTTCCTTTGAGGCTAAATGGAAGAAGAAATTAAACATCTGCTTATGAAAAGGTAGTGAGGGACAACTGGAGGCTACTGCCCAAGAAAATGGCTTTAATTTCAAAGACCAGCCTAACCCACAGGTTAAAAAAGCTGGGGATTTATTTCAGTGACTTGAATATTAAAAAAAAAAAGACTGTAGCATTTATGCAGCCATGAGAGTGTTTGTGGGGAAAAACAGTGAGACTCTTTTCTTCCCAGGCTTCCTTTTCATGGGCATGAAATGAGCTGGAGGAAAACTGAACTAGTGAATAAAAATCTTCCTGTTCTGTTTTCTCTCTTGGCAGAGCAAAAGAGTTTTCTGTACACCATTTGTGATATGTAGGATTATACTAACAAAGTGTTTGTGTTCTCAGAAAATTATTTGCATACTTTTAACTTTGGAAGAAATTCTGAATCCTATTAGTTAAGTACCCAAATCTATTTAAAATATTTGTCCTTTTGCTTTGTGCTGATTTTTCATCACTGTACTGACCAAAACCTAGAGACATGACTAATGAATTCAGGGTTGCTATACCTTGGAAGGTGTCCAGGTAAGAGCTGATAGATTTATTTGAGTTGTCTTTGAAACCTCAGTTTGAAGATAAACTGCCTACAAAGAAACCTGGCTTTCCTAATAAAAAATTGAACTACTACTTTAATGGGACAAGTGAGGCTGGAAAAAGAACAGGCTGTTAAAAAAGACTACTTTTTATGTAATTACAATTAATAATCTCTAACACTTTCTTTGTCAAATAAAGCAGTAATGTGTTTAAATGCGTTGGAAAAAGAAATCTGCCTGTATGCTCTTACATACCATTTTTTTCCTCATAGAAAGTAAGTCAGGATGCTCATGCCTCCAGTGAGATTCTGAGAAAGAGCATTCACTGGGCATCTGGGGGACCAGCACTGTCCCTGAGAACAGATATTCATGGTCACACTTGAGTGGCAGGTGCTGAGTAATTGCTCTCCTGGTCCCATGTCTGAACTTGCTGAAAAATCTTGCCAGGGCTCTGCTTGTTATCCAGAGGCTTTAAACACCCCAACACCTTTAAAAGGCAACCTGCTGCTTGAAAGACAAGAAAAGGTGTCCAATTAAGAGTGTTCTGCAAAGGACATGAGAATATTTAGGTTTGCAAGCATGCTCTAAAGCATATTACTTTTCCTTTAGCCTCAAGATACCAGGTGAATTTTGAGGTTCAAGTATTTGGCTGTACACTCAGGGAGTTTTGTAGGATTTCTGCATCAGTTTGTTTTGTAGCTGGAGAATCTTTCTCCCACCTAGCAAATCATACCACCCATACCACTCCATAATACTGTATAAAGGCTCATGTGTAGTGTGTGGGGGTAACAATACCCCACCACAGCGAGTGAAGAGGACAGCAATTAGTTTCACTGCCACTCACTAGCCAGCATAGCCCAGCATGGAAATCCAAGGCATATTTGTGAGAGGGATGATGTTGAAATAAGAGTGATGACTTCAATAAGACCCTCAGTATCCATGGGAGATGCAATGATGAAGTGTCCTGAAGATGACAGTGAGTAGAGGGTAGGTGGACTTGCTCAGTCCAAACATGCTTGCTCTGAAATCCATTTTCTGTTTGTCAGTTTTTATGTACTTGTCACACCAATGACAAGCTGACAGCTGCAATATATATAAGATGTCTGTTGGAGAAATGTGCTTCTTGTTAAATGCCTTTGTAAGGCAAAATCCAGTCAGTGACTGAAGTGGTATTCTGAACAGCACAGGTAATGTCTCCCAGAGAAGCACTGATTGCTTTGTTTACATTGGAAAGGATGAGAAGTGGGAGTCAAAGGAAGCCAAATTATCCAAACAGGGAACTGAGATGAAGTGGAATGATTTGCATGCTAAATATGGGATTTATTTGTCTCCCTTGCAGGACAATACCAGGAGTGAAATATTGCATTTTCACTGAAAGAGGATAGTGGCAATATGCCACAGATTTCATTAGTTAAAAGAAGATTGCTTCTGCTTTTGATATTCACTTATAGGCAGTAATGTGAGGAACAACTAGACTACCTCAGAACTTAAAGAGCCTGGTGATGTTATAACTAATAGTGTGAATATTGGTTGGTTTATTCCCTCCATGGTGATGGAGAGTTTCACCAAAATAAATCCTGAGTAACTGTCAAGAACGAAGACGTATTTCAGGTGTGTATCAGTTGCAATTTGTTGGGGAGTTTTTTTCTATTTCACTTTTGTGTGCTTAGATATTATAGTTGGCCAGGAGACACTTCACTCTGTTGTTCTTAGCTTGTATGTAACAATTTGTTTTTATTTTTATGAAGATGGCTCAAGGTGAGCTGATTGATAGACTGTTACTCTAAGAACAACAAAATTACTCTTTCTGATGTATATTTTTTAGGAATGAATCTTAAAAGTCAAATATACATATGGCATGTGTATTTTTAAAAGTCAAACACACATATTAACCATGTGGGAAATTACTCCTGTTGAATTAGGGGGGAGTTTCACTGGGTGCCAATAAGTTATCAAAATATGAAAGACAGATAAACTAACAAACATAGGGTGTTAGTGCAGTGAGATGATCTTTATTTGTAAGCAGCATTTAGCACTATTTAATTCATGACTTTGGTTTCTACTGACCATCTGTCATAGCTGCTGTCAGCTTCACAAGCCCTGTGAACTTTGCCAGTCCTGGTGTTAGACTTCAAAAGATGCTGCACCCACCCACCAGTATGACTTGGATCCAGAGACCATATTGTGGCAGCATGAAACAAAGAGTGGTTTTGGCAACAAGAGGCTGGCCCTGTGTTTCAGTTCTGTTCCTTCCAAAGTAGCAGGCATTTAATTGGATTAACTGAGCTGAGGTCACCATTGCTAGAAGAGGTAGCACCAGGTTCAGCATCAGATGTCCTCTTAGAGTACTCTTACTCAGGGTCATTTGAGAAATGGTGAGAACTAAACCTGTCTTCCTGTAATCTCCCAGTTGCAAGACTGTTCTCCTCTTGCAAATGAGGTCCATACAAGACCAGGTTTTCAAATAGCTTCTATGGCATAAAAGACACGAGAAGATTTTAAAGTATAAATTATAAAAATCTTTTAAGATACCTGGAAAGCAGTGGACACTCATGAGCTGTATCAACAGCTTCATCAGTGGAGCCTGGCACAGCTGATTGCAACAAAACAGAAAAGACAAGACAACCAAAAGACAGTTATCAAGCATTAATCCTTTTTAGATTTTCTTTAAGAAATGTGTGGATATGTAGTCAGTATCAATTTCCTTCCTTGTATTCAGCTCACAAATGTATTTTTAAGGCCTGTGGATCTTGGCATACCTCTTTGTCATGTTGATACAGAGAGTTTTGCTGAAACTCCCATTTTTAATCTCCTGTGAATATCCAGAATCTCAGTGAAGAGTTTTGTTGACTTATCTTCTTTCCACTGTCCTCACACTGGCTGAGGAGGAACTGTGCTCACCTCTGTTGAAGAGTATGTGCTGGTACACCATTTAACTACAGGTTGCAGAACACTGAGTTTCAAATCCCTTTGAAAAATGGATTTGCAAATTTTCTTGCTTTCTTGAAAATTCATGTCTTGGTCTGAAATTTCCAAGTGTATTTCAGATTTGGCAACAAAAGTAAGTAAAAATGGACAAGAAACATCCCTTACATATGTGCAGATACAGATAGCACAATAACAATAGTGGTTCAGTAGCTATCATTTTTTACAAGATCGTAATAACCTAATTATCTTAGTCCTATTATTTTGACATTTAATATAAAATTATTGTGTATTCATTGTCTTGGTGGCCTGTTATTGACCTCTGATCAGCTTATTATCAAGAATAAAGCTCGAGTATATTTTGCGAACACTGGTATGTGCTATGCTTTCTATATCTCTTTAGCATGTTTTTTGCTGCTTTAGTCAACACAGAAAATGCCTTGCAAAATAAAAAAGACTCATGGACTGCACAGGAGTTAATACATTGGGAATGTATAGTAGTCTGAGGAGGTGCATGAAGCTGGAAGTAGCTTTTGTTTTGACCTGTTTGAGTAGGCATATTCTGAAGACTTCTCTGTTCCCACTGGCAAATCTCCCAGGAGAGTTGCAGTAAGCTGGACACAATCACCCCTCAAAATCTGCTCCGTTAGCATAGGTGTGGACCAGGACCAGCTGATGCAGTTCTATCATCTCTACCATGCCTAGAGGGTTTGCCCTACCTTCAAGCATGCCTTCTCCTGGACTTCCCCACCTACACTGAATGCATGTGAATTACAGGTTGGTTCCTGCACTACAGGTGGACTTGTGGCAGCCCAGCAGCCCCTTCCACATCGTCGAAGGTGCAGTCACTGACGTGCGAGTACCGCAGAACACGACGCGGAGCCTGCTGCCCTTCCTCCAGCAAGCAAACGTCCAGTACACGTAAGCCATGCTCCATTTCCCGTGCCTCTGCTGCAGAGAGCTGGCCTTCGGGGCAGCTCTGCACCTACCACGCCAAGTGTGCTCGAAAATAAGTTCCACATCACAGCAATTAGGCTGGCAGACAGCTCGCCATTGCCAAGAAAACAACCGCTTTAATGGCAGAGCAGCAAATCTCCCACAGGCAGGCAGCTTTAATTAAATGTCCTCCTTTGGAGTCAAGCTGAAGTGTTTTCAATATATGTGAAATCACATCTCTTAAGAGAGGGTTGGTAATTACTAATTCTGAAGCCTGCTTTGCCTCTTTCTTTATTTAGCATGAGCAAAGTTTATTTACAAGTGAGCTGCAAATGCAGAGGCAAAACTTCTGCATCAATTATACAGGAACTACTTCTATTATTCTCCATTCCTAGTGACCAATACAAGCCATACAGTACAAATGCAATACATTTAGTTTCACATATTATTTACAGTACTCTTTAAAAAAAGTCAAGGCAATTTTGGAGTATCTTTCTCCTTTCATATTTATCCGTATGATGTACTGGACAAGAGTAATGATCTTGTCTTTAAAGCCTTCTCAATGGTATGCATAAGCATCTGAATAATCATCTCATGTGTTCTCAAACATTTGCTGAACAAAGACCTACATGAGGTTATTTATAATTATTTATCAGTGATAAAAGGATGGTGTAAATCATAATGTGGATGTATTTATATATGCATATGTATAGTACTCATCAGAATCCCATATTTATTATAACAGTGCTCTCTTCTTAATTAGTTGTTCTAAAAATACAGAAACAAACATTGGGAAATTAAGTACACAAGCTCCATAGCTGCAGTTCAGAGTGACTTTCATGTGGGTTCAGCACTGCTTTGGTTTTGTTTATGTTTAAAACTGAGATGGGGCTTTTTCTAATTGTTTTCCTGTGCTTATAAAAAAATGTTCCCTAATTACTGTGACCCAGCAGTTGTATTCACGTCTGCTGCTGTTCCTGCTCACAGTAATCACCTTCAATGAAATGACAGAAGGACATTTTATATGTGTTATAAACACTCTGTACTTGAAGACCTCTGCTTGGGTTGCAAAGCAATGTGCAAGCACAAGATCTGCCAGAGCAAAAGGTCTCTGCAGTTTACCTCAAAAAACATGCTACAAACACTGGATTAACCTTCCACAGAGAAAATCTCTCTGACTTTTGGCACACAAGTTGTGCACTTGGAAGGAAAGTGAGCAGCATTTTACCAGGTCCAGACTTGTCTTTTGCTCTCCCTCTTGTTCTCCTCGCTGCCTGTTTTGGATGCTCCCAGCCATTAGGAGCAAAACCCTGCAAAGCATGTGCTTGTCCTGACAAGCCTCCTGAGGTCTGTAACTCCACAAGAGCCAGGAGGATACACCATGAGAGCAGTAACAGCCAGAGTCAGGGAGCAGCAGCAGCAGCCTGGCCAGGCACAGCCATGCCCACAGCACAGCTGGGGTGGGGACCACAGCCCTGAGCTGAAGTGCAGCTCCACAGCCAAGACGTTGTTCAGCTCCTTTTCACATGGATGATTTTCACGATTTTTTAAAAAATACTTTTTCCCCACACACTCAATAGAGTCAAATTTCTACATCCTTTTTGGAACTGGGAAAGTCTGAGCCAAACTCCAGGTAAAATTTCAGCTTGATGCAGTGATGCTTACCTGAATTATAAAATATTTACAAAATCAGGAAGCATTTCAGCTTCCTTAATAATGACCAGAACTTTCCTGTACAATAGGCTTATCTCTCTTAGGGTTTGACTTCCTGACAAAATGGCCATGAAAACAAGCCAGGCATCAGATAAACTCTCTGCACCAAGTTGCCTCAGTTGTAAGTTTCTTGGTAAAGAAGCCACTTACGTTGCACTCAGTCCTGAGGGACTTAAAGAGCCTTTGTGTTATAAATACACACAGTACATTGTCATTTACAAGTAAAGAAATATTATCAAATCTCATTTAGAGTACAGATGCATAAATTAGTAGAGTGAGCTTGATTCTGGTAGGCATTTATACTAATCAGAATTCTGCAAAGCAGTCCAGCATTTTTTTTAACTATTAGATGCCCTAATGATTTGAATAAAATCACTCCTTTAATCAGCTTTACAGTACTAGTCTTATTGTATATATACCACCTCTCAAGTCAAGACTATAATCTATTAGTTTGCCTAATGAATGTTGCTAATGTAAAACAACATAATTCCTAATTACACAACTATTCAACTCATGCACTGGAAGATGAGAATAACCTTTACTTTGATTCTATATGTAGATAGACCTATTACCTTTGAGGCATCTGCTGTGCAGCTGAGTTAGGAGCAGAGTAAATTCCATTTCTTTCCATCTTTTTCCAATCACAGAAGTTAATGCCTATAAAAAATGTAAAAGGTTGAATGTGACTGTCTTTTTATGGGAATGGTGAATTAGTGGCATGGTGATTACACATTGCCATGCTTTAGGAGAAGAGGGCATACAAGGATGACTCAGTTTTACAGTAATGTTGTTACAGATAGCTTCTGCTGCTGTCTGGTGGGTGCTTCAACTTCTTCATTATAATTATTTTTAGATGTTTTATACATTATAATTTTGTATTTGTGTCATTTTTTATTTTTCCCATATATAGAAAAGTTTCAGCTTACACAACTCTTCCTGCATTTTACTCTTAATGCAAAGAACCTCTCACTTTTTATGCAAGTATATTTAAATTTCACTTAGCATTTTTCATATTTTTCCTGAGTTATTTTAATAAAACTGGCAAAAAACTACAGCAGAGTAGATAATGCAAACAATAAAGCTCACTTTAGATTTTTTGTTTGCAGTTTTTTTTGTTTCAGACAGAATGATAATGCTATGCTACCAAGTTCTTATTTTTTTAGTTTTGCCTCTACAACTTGTAACTATATGTAATATTTCATCCACTCCCAAGAGAAAGTGTGTCTGTGTTCTCCTAAGCTTACAAAGATGTTTGAAATGGTTTGAAATCAGTTTTTGAAGATCCATGATCACATCATATAATTGGATTATAAAAGAAGACAGTAAATTTGCTCCATAAACAAACGAAAGTGGTTGCTTTTTCACATTGGCTACATTATTTACATCATTCTGTTTCAGTCATTTAACAAGCTTATTGTGTTTTTGAAGGCACTGTTACATTTCAAAGCAGCTGGAGTATTTATTTGGCAGCTTTTATTCAAGTGAGCCTGAAGCGCCTATTGTCAAATGTAACAGATGAAGTAAAGTCAGGATGGTTTAACTTCTGCTATATTTCTTCTTAAAATGATTGTTGTTCTGATTTAGCTTGTGTGCTCTTCTAGTTTTTCAATAATACCGCTATCTTTTTTTTACTTAGGATTCTCATATCAGACCTACAGCAAGCAATAGAAAATCAAACTGGAGGGAGGCCCCATAGGAATCGAAGGTCCCTCTCTGGGTATAACTATGAAGTGTACCACTCCCTGGAAGAGGTGCATTAAAATTAATATTGTTCCTCTTATCTACTATAATGTTGTATTTAGTAAGGCTAAGGTTTCGTTTTCTCTACAAGTTCTTGTTACCTGTCCATCTTCAGGAGTGTTTCTTCTTTAAAAATAGGCACTTCCTTGAAAAAAAAAGGATTTAATATTTGTATTCAAGGCTTATCTTTACATGTAACTATATTTCAGAGCATCTGAGTTTTGAAAGTAGGTCTTTTAGTCTAGTTGAATAAGAGATTTCAGTGAGTGATTGGTCACACTAAGTCATTTAATTAAGCAATACAAGTAAATGCTTAAGTATTTGCACAGGAGGTACAAACATGTAAAAACACTTAGATGCATACTCATTTCTGAGGAATACTATCCTGGATGATGGCTGGGTAAATAATTCCTGTTGATTTTAGTGTGCTCACGTATACAGTTTCAGTCTTCACCAAAACAAAGTCACTAGACTGAGCATGGAGAGTGCTGCACCACCAGATCTGGTGCCCACGAAACAAACACTGCAGGTAGCACTGAGTCCTGCATGTCAATCTGTTTGCCATTGTGTTCTGGCAGGCAGAAACATGGGCCTTCTTTCTTCATTCCATTGATATCTAGTGGCAATGGTGGATTAGCCAGATCCCCATATTTTTGATGGACAGCTTATGCATTCCAGTAATACCCAACAATGAAATGGAAAAAAAAATCCCATGTGAAGGCTGCATCCAGCCTCTGGCTATAGAGCTATGAGTGCCAAATAAAGGTTGAAGTGTGAAAACAAACCAAACAAACAAGATAAAAATAAAAACTATAGGAAAATCAAAAAATAGAGGACTGAGAGCTGAGCCAAATAAATGTATTGCAGTTTCTTCCCATGAAATGTGAAGATTGAAGCAATGGTTTTATTTTTGTGTTTGCAGATCGAGGACTGGATGCATTATCTGAATAGAACTTATTCAGATCTTGTTCATATGTTTTCTGTTGGAAAATCCTATGAAGGGAGACCACTGTATGTACTTAAGGTAAAGATAAAATCATCATTAATGAGACTAAAATCTGGAATCAGGGACAGACACTGTTATTTGTGTTACAGCATATACACCAGAGACACAGCTTAACAGTGTTTCCTAAGGATGAGTTGCTAAAATCTAAGTATCTCTCTGAATGTTATCTTTAATGAAAAAAAGGGGGGAAAAGCTACAAAACTAATAGCCAAATCCTATTTACCTGGATTGCATATGGATGGAGAAAGATAACAGGACAAGTTCAATTAGCAGGATTTGGATTTAAGTGGATTGGAAAGCTTTTTGTTTATAGACAACCAGGAGAGCAGTTTATGCAGGAGAGAGATCCCAGAGCACTGTGGAGCCCTTCTCAGCATGTGCCACAAATGCTGCTTCTTTACCTACTGACAAAATTTCAGGGCTCTGTGCTCTCAATATGATTAGGACCACATTAGAGTGTGTCAGCAAGATGCAAAAAATCTTACTTTCAATGTATTTTCCTTTCATCTCCTATTGAAGAGTTCTGAAAATTTGATTCACTATCATGCAATTCATGTAATGTTCGTCACCCTACTCATAAAAGAGGAACTTACAGATCTCACTTCTGCTACAGTTTTTTCCCGTAAGTCGGCCTCATTATCATGGCATACCTGCCTAACATTATCTTGGCTATACCTTTTAAAACAGTAAATTTGTGTTCCTTTACATGAGGAAATTCAAAATGGTTTAGCCTCTTTCATATTTTATTATTTTCTCATTATTGTGTTTTCACTATGTGATGCAATCTCTTGGTATTTTGTGAATATTCACATTTCAAGTTAGGTAAAAGATCACGGCCCTACAAGAAAGCTGTCTGGATAGACTGTGGGATTCATGCAAGAGAGTGGATTGGCCCAGCCTTTTGCCAGTGGTTTGTGAAAGAAGTAAGTGTTTAAAATTTAGAGTCATACAGTTCTTTCTGTTAAGCAAACTTTTCATTTTTGCTGTAGCAGATCTAACACACTACTAATATGGAAAGTAACTAGCTATTATACCTCTCTTTTTAAAAATTATTTGTGGAATACTTAAGTACTTAATAAACGAAGCTGTTAGTGACAGCCAGACATAGCTAGGCACAGGACAAAAATATGGCAGACATATACTGGCAGAGATGTGAAGTAGGATTTTATTCCAAGACCCAAAAGTGTGAAGATTTTCAGTAATTTTGGTAATTGCCCAGGTAAATCAGTGCCAGTGTGTACTGCTTTAGATCAATTCAGCAGTATCTTTGTTTTAAGGACTTAGTTTAAAAGAGACATTTCTCTTCTGTGTAATTCCATAGGAATAGAATAGAAAGCTAAAGTCACAAAATCACTAAATAAAATCACAGAATTGTTTAGGTTTGAAAAGACCTTAAAGATCATCAAGTCCAGCTGTTAACCTAACACTGCCAAGTCCATCACTAAGCTGTCACCCCAAGTGCCACATCTTTTAAATACCTCCAGGGATGGTGACAAGCATTTCACTGGACAGCCTGTTCCAACATTTGACAACTCTGTTAGTATCCAAGCATCCAACCCAGTATCCAAGCCTCTTCTGGATCATCTTAAAGCCATTTCCTCTTGTCCTATCACTTGTTACTTGAGATGAGAGGCTGGCTCCCACCTGGCTACAGCTCCTCTCAGGCAGTTGTAGAGAGCAATAAGGACCCTCCTGAGCCTCCTTTTCTCTAAAGACCTTCAGTTCCCTCAGCTGCTCCTCATCACATTAGTTCTCCAGACCTTCACCAGCTTCAATTCCCTTCTCTGGACTCACTCCATAACCTACCTCCATGTTTTTTTTGTAGTGAGGGGCCCAAAACTGAACGTAGAATTCAAGGTGTGGCCTTACCACTGCCGAGTACAGGGGGACAATCACTGCCCTAGTCTTGCTGGCCACGCTAATCCAGATACAGGCCAGGTGTCATTGGCCTTCTTGGCCACCTGGGCACACACTGGCTCATGTTCAACTGCTGTCAACGAGCACCCCCAGGTTTTTTTCCAATGGGCATCTTCCCAGTCACTCTTCCCTCAGCTGGTAGCACTGCATGAGGTCTCTGTGACTCAAGTACAGGATCTGGCACTTGGCTTTTCTGAACAGTTGGTCTCAATCTGTCAAGAATTCATCTACCATACTTCCATGATGGCAACTGTCATAGTTTTCTGCTGTGCAATGTCTTCCAGCTCCTGTTTGTTACCCATCCTTTGTGTATTGGTATAGATGTGCTTCAGGTGGGCTACTGATCTGAATGCCTTCTGCAGGGAAGAAGCCCTAATTCCTGCATGACTGGTTTTAGGCACTTCTTTGGTTTCTAACACATGAATACCCTTCTGTCTTTGCTGCCACATGTATCTCCATCCCCACTGGGATGGCAGACTGAAGGACCTAACTAGAACAACATCCCTCAAACATCCGTGTGGTGCCCCCAAGTTTATCAAGCCTGGTTTTATCCTCTTCCACCTTCAAATCCAGTTTAAAGCTCTTTCAGTGAGACCTCTTAACTTATGATCAAAGATTGTTTTCCTCTTTTGAGACAAGTACACCCTATCTCACTGGGAAGCTTGCTGTTGCGTAAACCAACCCATGGTCAAAACCCCAAAATTCTGCCAGTGACACCAGTCTCAGAGCCAGGGATTGATCTGCTGGCTGTTCTTCTTCATAGATGGATTTCACCTGAAATGATGAATTTCATATTATCTGAAAAGCAAGTGATTCCAATATTTCTTTGATTCTATCTTATTTGGTTTATTCTCCCTTTATTTTTGATGTCTAGTTTTTAGTCTCCATACTTATCCATTTGCAGGTTTCAAATGAGAGGTGAAATCAAATGGAATTGGAATTTTGCTTCTAAATTGTCTGGTTCTGTTTTGCCCAAGGCAGCACACAATATGCCATGGCCTCCTTGCCAGACAGAGCTCGGCAGGTCAGAGAAAGAATGTTATAGATAAGGAAGAATAAACAACCTTGAAAAGCTGATCCTACGCATTTAGACTCCTTCTTTGGCTGCATGGGCTAAGAAACAAGGACTATTACAATCTTAGGGTCATTCTGACACCGCAGACCCTGAGATTCTCTGTAGACTTTATAGCATGCTATAGACTGTGGGTGTGCATATAAAAACCTTCTGGTTGTTATTAGATCTTCAGAGAGCCTGATAAGGCTGATTCTCAAATTATGTAAAAACATTTTCCTGGATTAAAAGTAGTCTCCACAGAGCTCCTTCAGACTACAAGAATGTATCACCTTTGTCTGCCCATCCCTTCTCAGAGCAGTATTTCAATCCAGCATTAAATTAAAAAGCATCAGGAAGAGAATACATTATGCTTACAGTCTCCATCATCATATTAAAATCAACTGGCTAAGGAGGAAAGACAAGATTATTAGATTGCTTGGTTTAGGATATTACTTTTCTCATTGTATGAATTAGAAATTTTTAGGAAGAACTCTGGGAAACCTGAAGGTCTTTCTGTGCTTGAAACTCTGCAATTCTTTTTTGCTGGCAAACTCTTCCCTTAAGACCTCTGCAGCCTGGCAGCCCAGTTTTCCATCCTCCCTGGTACTTACAGGCAGTTCTGAGAAAGGGCTGTCAGCTTGGAAACAGATTTTTCCTGGCACATTTGTTGACTCTAAGGAATAGCACCACAAGCCCATTGATTTAAGGCAAGGAAGAAGTAGTGCTGGATTTACATGATGTTGGCTTCTTTTCTAACACCATACATGCGTTCCTTTACTCTGCAGGCAGCCTGAAATGTCTTAGCAAGCTTTCACTTCTCTGACACTTATTTTTATTGAAGTATATCCATGTTCCTGTGTACAAGAAGGCTTTTCAGGCAATTTAGCTTAGGAAGAAAACCCTCTATGCATGAATTTCACTTAACATTCAAGCCTCAGACAGTGTGCCTCAAACTTTACCAAATAGCCCTATTCAGTTTGGGAACCCTCAGTGTCTGGTTTGCACCTCTAGAAGTGGCAGTTTCTGTGTGACAGTGGATTTGCCGGAAGCAATCGAAGAGCACCTCCAAAGAGTGGAGGTGTCACTGAGCAGCTGCTCATAGCTTTCTCCTGGGCATAGCAGCAGCTCCACGCTTTCTACAGAGAATCTGGAATTGTTCAGCTAAACTGGACCTGGCTCCCATCTACTTAGAAATGCAAAACAGACTAAAGTAGATCAGACTTGGGATGTCAGGAGGAAAGGCTGGAGCATGGGAAGGCAAGACGCTGCCTGCTGTGTAGACTTGTTCTGTATTTGGACAATTACAATAATAAGGGGAAAAAAATAACTAGAGGAAAAAATATAGAAAAATTAAATATATAAAAGAGAAAGAGAATGCACAGGATATTACATGATAATATATTTCAAAGTACAAAAGCAGCCTACTCACATTTTGAAACAAATGAAAGGAGAGCAAATACTATGGTTTGGGGAGTTGTGGGTTTTGTTTGGTTTTCTGTGTGTTGTTTTGAGGTTTTTTTTTTTCCTTATAATCTACTCCAGAATGAGCTCTAGCCTTGGGTTTGTGCTCCATAGGTCTGATGTTAATAACAACATCACTGTTTGTTTCTGTGGAAGGCGCCCCTAAAAGTCTGTAGTCTCTTGGCTAAAGATAATCAGATGTTCTGTCAGGAGTAGCTGTACTGCTGGCTTCTGGCAAACCCGACCTCATTGTCCTTGAATTTCAAGTCAAGAAAGGGGACACCCTGCACACAGGACCAGAGTTTTAGGTACCTGCTAATGAGACTCAGAGAAGTGTCTGCACTTGTACTGTAGCAGTGAGGTTGCAGTAGAATCCCACCCAATTTAAGCCTTACTCAGACGGAAAGAGATGGAAAAAGTGCTCTGAAAGTGGAAACATTACAAGACCTTTGGTGGAGAAGGGAAGCATGACAAACTGTAAAAGGAAACAGAACTGATTATACGTGGGCTACTTTGAAGGCAACCTGCAAAGATAAATGAACCCAATCTAGTGTCCATAGCAAGAGCTTTAGGGGAAAAAAAAAGAAGAAAGGTTTGTTAGCCTACAATTTTAAAAAGGGTAGATGGGATCTAATATATTATTATGTTATTAAATATTATGAACTAAAAGATACTCTGTTATGTAACTACTTTGTGGAAAGCTACAAAAAAAAGTAGAAAAGTCTACTTTTCTAAAGTAGACTTTAGAAAAAAAAATCAGATATAACATGTATTTATCAAAAATTAAATAGCTCTCAGAGAAACAAAGATATAATAACTATAACTATTTTGCAAAAATACAATTATATATGTACATATGTTAAGTAAGAATATTTAGCTCCTATTCATTGAGAGAGGTGAAGTAGAATTCAGCTATCAAATTATCCTGACCTCAAATTTAGGATTTTACCATTTTTTTAAAAATCTGAAATACGGCTCACAGGCTGCTATTTAAATTAACATCAAAACTCAAGTCTGTTTCAGTTTTAGTGAAAGCAGATGAGGATTCCCACTACATCTGGTTTGACTTTCTTTCCTCTAATAAATGGTGCCATTTGATCCATTTCAATGATGTATAACCTTGAGATGTCTTTCATAAAATATTTTCAGAAAACAGCATAGTTGAGATGTGACTTTGAGTTGTGTTATTCTTTATTTGTGATGCAGGAATTTTTATTTCAATATTGGAAAATTCAAGAAATGAAATTAAAAATCTTCAAGAAGCATGCGCTGGTTGTTCTTCTTGACAAAATGTTTTAAGACTCCAATGTCACCTGTAATGTCTATTACAATCAAATGCATCTCCCTAAAGGAGTTACCTCATCAGGGCCTCAAATGAAGGTGAAAATAGTCTCACACTTTGGAAATGCAGTGACCTTCACAACCTTCTTCTCCCATCCTCAACAATTATCACAATTATTTGAGTTCCCAAATTACTCAAGATTATGCGTT